GAAACCCAAGGACGGGTCGCTATGAGTCGGACCCGACTTGATGGCGCATAACAACACAACAACAACAGCTGTCGAGTTGGATCCGACTCATAGTGACCCCTCCTTGGGTTTCTGAGGCTGTATCTCTGTGGAAGTAGATTGCCCAACCTTCCTTCTGAGGAGTGACTGGTGGGTTTGAACCACCAGCCCTCTGGTTAGCAGTCAGATGCCTTAAGCACTATGCCACCAGTGCTCCCATATATACATATATATATATTTCACACACATACACATAGAAACACATACAAAGAATACGTTTCACTGTAGGATAGTTATGACTTTGCATTTTGTAAAGTCACAATGCTAGTCCTGCATGAATCATTTCTTTTAGAAGCATTAGCACAAGGCTGGTTCCTGTAAGGTAGAGGTTATAGATGTCCCAGATGTCCACCTTTTCCAAACTGCTGTACCATTCTGTCATCTCTAACATCAACTCCTCCACCCCTCAGTACTCTCCCTCTTGTCTAAGGGTTCTGTAATTCACTGCAGTGTGTCACACAACTTGCATACTACCAAGGAAGTGGCTCACATGGTTGTGAAGGTTGGCAAGTCCCAAACATGTGACATGGGTCACATGTCAGTCTGGAGGCTTCTCCTGACTCACATAGTTGTAGGGCTGATGAACCCAAATCGACAGGTCATATGACAGGCTGCTCTCTTATAAGGCTGCAGAAGCTGATAATCAGGTCAGACAATAAACTGCTGGTTCAAGTTCTCAAGAACTGGAGCTCAGATGATGACAGCCAGATGCAGGCTCCAGAGTGAGAGGGAGAACTTGGCCAGAGCATTCATATGTCTTGGATGCAGACCATACCCTCAAGGAAACTAAGGGTGGTGAATTGAGTCACATCCTCTAGTAAGGTGATGACTCATGATATATCCCAATCTTGCTTCATCGACATACTGGATAATTCCCTCCAATATGGGACCATAACAACAGGCACAGAGGCTAACATTTACAATATATCACAAAATGAAGGACTATGGTAGAAGGACCATATTACGTAATTCACTCTGCCAGTTCCCTAGGTATTGTTTTATGCGTGGTCTGTGGAAACCAAATGGTTTGTGAAATCATTGTGACCACAGTAAATACGTAGTGGAAGGAGCTCTCCTGGCGCAGTGCCTAAGGCATTTGACTGCTAACCAGAAGGCTGGTGGTTCAAACCACCAGCCACCCCTCGGAAGGAAGATTGGCAATCTACTTCCGTGGAGATACTGCCTTGGAAACCTGAGGAGGGTTTGCTATGAGTCAGAACCGCTCCATGGCAGTGAGTTTGATTTTGGGAGCTCTGGTGGCGTAGTGCCTAAGGCACTTGACTGTTAACCAGAAGGCTGGCAGTTCAAACCCACCAGCCACTCCTCAGAAAGAAGGTTGGGCAATCTAGTTCCATAGTGATATCGCCTCAGAAACCCAAGGAGGGGTTGCTATGAGTCGGGTCCGCCTCGATGGCACATAACAACAACAACAACAACAAGACCTGGGCCCTTTGTTTGGTCAGCGCCATTCCACAAGACTCCATTTACCCGAGAGTCTCACTCCATCACGTCAGTCCATTTCTTTCATCACCTTTCCCCCCTTCTCTCCTGAAGGAGGGCCGAGTGGGAATGATGTACTGATCATGTTGTAGCTACTACGCTTTAGACATAGGCTACATGTACGCATGCATCCCTCCTACCTGTGCTCTGGGCCTGTTACTCTGACAAGGCCCAAGTTGTGTTAATTTTTTGAGCATGGTCGGGGCAGATCTTTGGAAATACTGTGTTTGCCAGGCTTCATTAAGGAAATTGAGTGGGCTTGCTGATTTGAGTGATGTCATATTCTTTTTCTTTTATAACTCGCTAATGAAGTCCCTGTTTTTGAATGATCTACTTTGCGTCATGTATGAAATCAGGATATGTGTTGGGGTAGAAGAGCACAGAGGAGCGGTGGTTGGATCGCTGCCCGTCACTCAGTGCCTTAGCTGTGGCTGTACTCATGTGCTTGTGCAGGAAGGGGCCGGGGGGATCTTGGATGGAGACTTCCAGCCTTGCCAGTTGAACTTTCTTTCTTTTTTCTTTTTTTACTATCAAAGAAAAGGAGCCTGTTTTGTTTCCTAAACTTCCTTTATATAAAAATAACGAATGAATGATTGATTCTGAAAATGGAAGTTAAAATTTAGAGTCAAAACATGGCACGAGTTCACAGAAAATAATGAAATATATTCAGAGATTGACAATCAAGATATTAACAAATTTTGTTAAAAAGCTAAATTTTGCTTGTCAAAATTAACCATTGCTTACATTTATGGAGTCAACTTTTTAAAAACATTGGGGATATATTCTTAGAGACTGTATATCTTAATTGTAATATAAATCTTAATTGTACTATAAATTGATTGTAAGTCTTTATAATATTTTACTTTGACTTTCTGAGTGGATGTTAACAGTTTCAGGGGTAATTGTGTTCATTGAAACCTATGGCATTAAAGTGTTTGGGCAAAGACTTCTTTTAATGACTTTCTGCCTTGTGTAAGATGAGGGCCTTTCATTAAGCATGGTCTTTGTGTATTCTGAATAAAACATTAATCTGGTTGGGGGAAGATAAGCATCTGCTTCTAGGTCAAACTCTGAAAAATACTAGATTTACCAAGTATGACTGAGATACTGCTGGGTCAGCCCCCTCCTTTCAGTCAGGTCTCTGCTCAGAAACTCTCCCTCTGGGAAACATGCCCTAGTCATCCTACTGGTAAACTAGCCTCACCCTCTATTAGTCTCCCGCTTGCTTTCTATCTTCTTGTTGATTTTTAATAGCATTTATCACTACCTTCTTTGTAAGAAGGTAAGACTTTGGGTTGTTTTCACTGCTATGTCCTTGACACATAGGGCAGTGCCTGGCATTCTGAAAGATACCTGCCAAAGGGGCAAGGAGGCTGCATCATCTGACCACCTCTAACCCAAGAGGAAGAGATTCACCATCAGTTGCCCAAGGCCTATTCCTGGGAGCCTAGACATGCTGCCTCCCTCCAGCCCTTTCACCAACCGTTCCTCCTGCAGCACCCACCACCTCTTTCCTGGGTTCGATAATTCACTACAGTGGCCACACAGAACTCACAGATTATAGGGTTTGTTAGGCAAGCAACAGGCTACAATTCAAGTTCAGAAATGCACTCAGTCTCCTGCAGCCTACCGTCTCTCAGCCAACAGTTTCTCTCAGTCTTTCTCAGCAGTGTATGTTTCTTAGTGTCTCTCTTAGCAGTGTTTGTCTCTTGAGGTCTCTCTCAGCAGTACGTGTCTTGTGTCTCTCTCTCAGCAGTGCGTGTCTTTTGCATCTCTCAGCCAGCAGTGAGAGATTCCTTCTGCCTCTAGGAGGGCTCCTTTTGAGCCTGGAAGTGTGGCCAAACTAACCAATCCCAACATCAGAATTATATACACCTGAGAGAGACAGAGAGCAAGCATGGGGAGGGGGGAGAACTTTTCAGAAAATTACTTTGTGCTGCTCCCAACAGAAATACCCCAGGTGGATAACGTTAACAATCAGGAGCTACTCAGTTGCTCACAGCAAATTCCAGCAGGAAGTTTACAAAGACTTATGAGTAGAAAAGCCACACTATGGAATTTACTATACCACAATACCCCATGATGTTTTGTTAGGTGACTGAATTGTTTGCCATTCGTCTGCCTGCTAGAGTGTAGACCTGGTGAGCGTAGCTGGCTCAAGGCGGGCCTTCCGACACTTATTTGAAAGAATGAAATAAATGTACTTCCCTTAGTGATCATGCTTATTTTATACATATATGGTGTTGGCAAAGAATACGTAATATACCATGGAGTGCCAGAAGAATGAACAAACCTGTCTTGGTATAAACACAGCCAGAATCTCCTTAGAAGCATGGTTGGCAAGACTTCACCTCATGTACTTTGGACGTGTTGTCAAGAGAGACTAGCCCCTGGAGAAGCATGTCATGCTTGGTAAAGTGGAGGCTCAGCAAAAAAAGCCCCTCAGTGAGATGGATTGACACAGTGGCTGCAGTGGTGAGCTCAAACAGCGTGATTATGAGGACGGCGCAGGACCAGGCAGTGTTTTGTTCTGTTGTATGTGGGGTCACTTATGAGTTGAAACTGACTCATGGGCACCTAACAACAACAGCATACATATAAATCACATTTTAATTGTACCATTATGTTTAAATTGCACATAGGTTTCTCATCAAAAAGTAGATTCTTGAAAAGGATGTGGTATTCCAGGTAGCATCTAGAATCTACAGAATATGCTGACTTTTTGCTGATGGGAGTGGCCAGATATGCTCTTTTTTTCTGATGACTAAACAACATCTGACATATTTTTGTGCTTTGTCCATAGAAATCAAAGTGTGCTGTCATGTGACAAATGCCTTAACTGGATTCTTTTCTCTGATTTGCTTCCTTCTTATTGCTAGTATAAATGTTGTTTGTGTACATTACTGATTTCAGGTCTAAAAATGGAGAATTCAGGGTTTTTGTTTTTTTTTTTTAATGACATTTCATATACTCTCTTCTTCCCACATAACTTAGTTTTCTCCAGTTTGTCTTGTATTCTTGTGGCTTCATTTAGGAGGGTAGTGACATACTTTGTTGTATTTTGTCATTTTTCCAGCTCCTGTGTGATGAGCGCTTAGGAAGCAGTCTGGTACTTCTGGTATTTGGGGCCTATAGGGGAGAGGTGATAAAAGTGTACATCCGAAAAGTGAGGAGTAGACATGGCATTCACCTTGGACATCTTGAGGAGCCAAGGCCAACCTGGCCTGGCTGAAGGATCATTCCTGTAAGGTGGTCTGTGCACCTGGAGAGGACCGATCTCTGCTCAGACTGCCTGGCGAGTGTCCTGTGATAGTGGTTTCTGAATGTGCTGTTTTTCCACTTAGAAAGGAAAGGTTACAGAAGAAAAATGTGCCCTTTGCTTTCACGCCTATGACTTAGCCACACTTTCCACTCTTCTTCAGGTAATGGAGCCGGAGAGCAGTGACCGAGAGGTAGACGCTGCCAGGGAGTCAGATATCCCCGAGGAGCTCTGTGGACGCCACCGCCCGCCCCAGCCCCTGAAGGGCTACGATGACAGTCCTGATGTCATTATTGAGGCCCAGTTTGATGGCAGTGATGCAGAAGATGGACTTGACAGCACGCAAAATGTGCTCGTTGATGGCGTTCAGAGACTCTCAGTGTGTGTTTCTGCAAAAGGTGAGTATCGGGCAGCTCTTTGATGTGCTTTTAGTAAATGATTGTTTTAAGAATTGGGTTGCTCTCTGAGCTGTAGAATTAACCCCAGAGTACAGCTGGTATCTCCTTGGCTTCTGTCCTGTGGCAGCTTTGTGAAGAGCTGGTCGGGACCAGCGGCTGGTTGGGAAAGGGAGGAAGAGGATGCTGAGGTCGCAGTGGTCACTCTTGCCCTGCTCGTGATAGGTTCTGGGCTGTGTGCACAGTTAGCTTGCACATTCCCATGTTGAGCCCGGTCCCACCCTGTGATTGATATTCACAGCATTAAATCGGTTTTTAAAAACCTTACCAAAAAAGTCTTCCCTCTACCCTGGACTTTGCTTTAATTCAGTTCATTTTTAAGTATTTCTGTGTTGAAGGTGCATCACTGTAAAGGCCTAAGCAGATTATCTTTAGAAATTGGTTTGCTTCTAAACCCTTTGAAAAGCGTCTTATTTTCTGTGATTGACGTCTATTCATGAGTCCTCTGGACACAGAAAAAAGCAACTGGAGATGTATGAGTAAAGTACTGTGACTATGGGCCCTACCTGACCCCACTCTGGGACATTGAAGGGAACATGACAATAGAATATTTGAACTCAGAGTTTTCTAAGAGTACCAGGTGGAGGGCATGTATTTTCTACCAAGTGGAGTTTTCTGCAGGCTCTGATGTGGGAAGGTTCAGCAACCGTGACCTGTCCAGGCAGACTAGATCCTGAGCTTATCAGGAAGAAGTTTCTGGCCCAGAAAGGCCAGAAGAAATGGCAGAAGATTACTACGGGAGGATGTTCTGCAGACACACTGTAGCAGGGCTGGGACCCACCCTTACGCTCCTGCGCTGTCCGGAAGAAGCCGGAGGTAATCACCAGAAGTGACTGCCTGAGGACCACCCTGGTTCTCCACTGCTGAGGAGCAGGGGCCGGGAGAGGGAGCGTGCTCACAGAGGACGTGTGGCTGCTGGGTGCCAAGCACTGCTCACTCCGAGGGACTTTCCAGCTCTGACACTGTTTTTGAATGAGGCAGCTGCTGCTTCACTTCCTACCAGGAGTTCTGATCAGGGGCACCCAGGCTCCCACAGTTGTTCCTGTGACCTACTTAGCCCTGAGTGGTTTCACTGTTGGGGGATCAGCCAGTTTCATTTGGTTGTTGTTCCTGAATTTCACTCTTTCTATGGTTCTTATTTTGAAAATGGCTTGACTCCAGTGGCCCTCTTCTTCCAGTGGACATGCACTGTCAGAGCAGTATCAGTCCTGGGAGTCCTGTCTTCACTATGGAAGGAGAGGGAAGTAACCAGGACCCACGCAGCCAGAACCCGCATCAACAAGATCCCAAAGGAGAGAGGGAGATGCTGGGGAACAAACCCAGGGAGGGGAACACTTCAACAGCTGTTGAATATTTGGCCCCAAATACTTCATGGACACCTAGCTCTGGTGACTAGGCTTGGCAGCCCCCACAGCCTTTTTCCCCAGAGCCCCAGATGGAAGGGATAAGACTTGTTCAGCTCGCATTAGTGGTTAGTGCCAGTGGAAGGAAGATGTTGATGGCTGCCATGACGGAAGCCTTGCTGCCTCGGAGACGCTGCTGACAGCCCCCTCTGCCCTTTGGGGGTTTTAGTGTCAGACCCGCTCCGGATACGCTCTCTGCTGTGGTGCCCCTTCCTCCATCCCTCGCTTGTGGAGAGGGGTGGCATCGAGTGCTTTGCAGAGTCCGCCGCACACGCTGTTTCCCTTTTTGCGTCTTTTTCTCCTCCTGGTATTTATATTGTTTCCTTAGTAGCCCTGCGAGGAAGCAGCCTTCATCCTTCTCTCAGTATCTAGTGCAGATTTCTTTTCCCACTAGCCTCTAAATAGGTTTGTGGAAACCACATGGCTGTTTCTCATTTCTGCCCTCTTGATACTTAGGAAAGTTGTAATTTGCTCTTTTAAAATATCATGGGGTTTTTGAGGATATTTCAACCAGCTTCTGTTGCTCAGGATAATATGAAATCTGGTTACAATTAGGAGTCTTAGTACTTCTTGCACCACTTTAGGTTTTGAAATTTGTTGCTGAAACAAATCCTAACCTTAAGAATATCATAAACTTTTCCTAAGACTTCTAGAAAGGATCTTTGCTTTTTACTGCAATTGCAAGTGGATTTTTAATCCTAGTTCATCCTGCGTTCAGAAGTGTTGTGGGGCTCCTCTGTCTTCTTTTTGAACGGGTAGGCAGTGTGGGCATGTCAAGCAGAGATCCGTGGTCAGGACATACCATGTTCTGAAAGCTCAAACCCTGTGCTGGGCCAGCCAGCCATTCCTCCTGTGACGTCCCCCAGAGAAATGCATGGACAGAGAACAAAGCAAGGCCGTGTATATTCTCAACCACCACAACACAGTGGACAAAACTTAAAAGACAGAAATTAGTAATTTACTTTGTGGGTCTTTCCCTGTTGGCAGGCCTCAAAGCTCTTCTCTTGTGTAGCCTTCTATCAGTTTTACAGTTTGGCCTTTGCCAGTGAGTCTTTAATCGATGTAGAGTCTCCCCTCATCATTTGGAATCTAGTTTTCCATTCAGCCAGTTTCCCAGCACGGTCTTCTAAGCAGCCCGTTCTTTCTCCATTGATTTGTGCTGCCACATCTAGCTTTTAAGTTGCTATATATTTGTGGATCTCTTTCTGAATTCTCTGTTTACTTCCATTCTCTATTTGCTCTTGTGTGACTGTTTTTATTATTAACCTGGTCTTGTATCTGTCTTTAAATGTCCTATAATGCCCCCACAGTCTTCAAAGTTGACAAACTGTTCTGGAACCATTGTTCTTTCATATAAATTATAGATTCTGTTTCTCAAAAAATTGATCTGGAAGTTTGATTGAGATGCACAGAACTTATAAATAATTTGAGGAGAACTGATTTTTTTTTTTTTGCATTTTTTAAAAATTTTATTTTGATTTGGGTGAAGATTTACAGAGCAAATTCACTTTTCATACAGCAGTTCACATATACTTTGTCTCATGTTATTGACCACAGTTTACCACAATGCAACAGCTCCCCTCCCACTT